CATCAAAGACACAATATATCGCACAGTAGAAGTGGACAGTAGTGTTGTCAGAATAGTTCACTTAAATGACACATTTGTGACCAGTTTAATCAAGTTATTCTGTTGTTTGTCTTGCAGAAAGAATTGAGCTTTCAGGCTAATTAACAACCAGCTGTCCAGCTCAAAGGGGGCCTGATATAAAACGCAGCCTTCAGCCTGCAGCAGCCAGATACACAAGGTGTTAGTTAAGTAACGATATCCCCCTGATGGCCGTAACGCAATAGTTGTCTACAGTAACATCATGTGACGTGATAGTACACAGAGTGTAATCAGGACCGTTGAGAGGTAAGACAAGAGTGTACCTGGCACATTAAAGATGTAGTTATCTGAGCATCTCTTGAAAGAAGAGCTGCTCCAGAGGCAGAAATAATTCAACTGACTGAGAACAATCTCAACAGTGGAGTCAAAGAATCAGGTGCAAGTGAAAGAACGTAGATAGGAAAGGAAGGTAGAGGTGTGAGAGGGGCCGTGGGATGGTAATAACGTCTTTTTTACTCTTTTAATCAATGTGACGTTCCCAAACTTCACCTCTGTAAGTAAAGAAACACTCGACCGGAGCAGCCGACATCCTGTCGAGGTCCAGCTCCACAACCTTCCAGCCGTCTCCAGAGGACAATCGCTCAGTGACTTTTGATCTCCGTGCCAGCGTCTCGATATAAGGCCTCCAGAAGATGCTCTTAGGGTCACTGCGAATCAACAGGAGAGCCAGTTACACCTGGAGAGCCTTTGTGCAACCAATGTAGGAGGCAGAATGTGTACAGTCTATATAGTCTAGTATATACGTATTTAATGTTAAATATAAAATATGAATTAAGAATGTAAGCGCTGTTTCTGCTGCTAATATGTTCTCATAGTCACGGTGCTCCTCTTCCTGTACCTGTGTTTGATAGACACGGGTCTATAAAAAGCCGTCAGAGAGACCGGACATTCATAGTCCAGCTGCTGCTTCCCATCAGTGAAGGTCACGGGCACGGGGATTATCTCTCGAGTCACCAACACCGTGTACACCTGACAGAGTCAGAGGGACGACAGGTTTAAACCTCACATGACCCAAACACACTGAGTGGTACACTGTCATTTAGACACTGACAGTGTGTGTGGAGCTTAAAAATGTTGGATTGCTTACAGGTTACCAGGTAGGTTATAGGTGCGGATGATGTGTTTATGTTTTGTAATGGAAACACAAGTGAAGTGTGCTGGAACACACATAAAGGCGTCCTCTGCTCGTGTCTCACCCTACCTGTGATTTACTGCCATCTGCTGAGCAGACGGAGACCTCCACCACGGTGTCTCCAGAGTTCAGAGGGACCGTCTGAGAGCCGTCCTCCTGGTTCACAGAGACTCTGATGTTTCTGTCTGGAACCGTGGGAAGAAGGCTCACAGCGTTACAGTGAAAGGGAACAGAAGCTGCAGAGAAGGAGAGTTTACAGTGAGACCGACAAAAACAAAAACAATGCAACATATGATATGGAAATCATGAATAAATACAGAAGCATAACAGAGATAATATGAAAGTGCAGGAAGAGGCAGAAAACCGACTGAGCTTGTTTGAAACCTCTATTTAAATGATGTTAAAAATGAACAATATTATAAAGAACACACAATTTATATACATAAGATATGACTATGTAATATTGATGACAACGTATTTTAACAACATTTAGGATATATAACAACAATAGCAATACAACAACAGGAAAGAGAAAATGTGATTGTGTGTGTGTGTGTGTGTGGGTGTGTGTGTGTTTGGGGTATTTTGGTTTAGACACCTGCATTAACTCCTAAACAATAGTTATGCTATATGTCACTATGAGTGAAACAACTATAAATATGTTGTAAAAAATGAAACATGGAATACATGAACACAACACATGGGGAAAGCTTTTACAAAACAGCAATTAAATGGTCTTTTAAGCCAATATAATGTAACAAACAAATACATATATTACCATATTTTCATATTCATATTTGTGCAAGTAAATGAAGATACATTTATATATTCACACACACATATAACTGTACATTTTTAACTTTTTTTACTCTGTTTTGTGTAATAAAAAATAAATAAATGTGTATTTATTTATGTTAATTCAAATACTAAATATGTCCCAATAACTTAAATACAGCTGCTTCACAGTGACACACACTGTGTCGTGGTGTAAGTCTGTACTCATTACTGTATTCATAGATTTTGGGGTGAAATGCCGGCTGAAGTGGAAGATCTTCCTCCAAAACCAGATCGCTGAGTTCTGCAATGTTTGCAGACAGCCGGGTGATTTCCACACAGTAGTTCTTCACGGTGCCATCCTCCGCCACCACCTCTACTTCCACTCTGTTCAACCCGTCATTCACATTAATGGTGCTGGAACCGTCACCAAAGAGCTGAAACGTGTATAAAAAACACAACAGGGTCACATTTCATGTTAAATCTTACTAGATATACTGTTTGTCATATCTTACAGGTGCTTTATCATTTAAATTAGTCATGACTTTGTCAATCTATTTGTTCCTAATGCCTTCATTGTTTTTTGTTTCTGTTTTAATTAAGGCTTTTTAAAAATGCCACTGTATTATTGTGATGTTTGTTTCTTACTATAGTATATTCTATACCGTGTCCTTGTGCGTTAAATAGACCTTAATTGTCATTAAGTCCTGACGATGCATTCACACGTATCAAACACTAACAATAGTAAAGAGAGTCATTATCTTCACCGACTCTGGTAAAGGCAAAGCTAAAGTTATTAATTAAAACGATATTCAGTTAGAAAGGTAAGAAGTTAGACTTTAGTTTAACACCATTAAATCAACATTACTGTATAACTAGTAATATATATATATGATAATGTATACATATATATATATATATATATATATATGATAATGTATACATATATATATATATATATAGTACTCACAATATTGCATGAAGCCCCACAGTCACTAGTAACCAGGTCTAGAGTCGCTGTGGTGACGTTGCTCTCCACGTCACTGTGTAGTCTGTAACTTGTGGAGTGAACTCCGGATGGAGCTTCTTCCCACCGGAGACGGAGAGCTTCTCCAAATCACAGTTGTCCATGTCTGAAGCCTCTGTCACGGCTGGTTCACTTAATAATACTAATAATAATAATAATAAAAACAGAGTTTACAAAGTGCTTTGACAGACAAAAGCAAGAAAATAATAACAGAAAGCTCAGCGAGACAGTCGATACAAATAAACATGTATATAATATATATATATATATACATGTATATAGTAAAATAAAACTTACTACTAACTTACTGCTAACCTACAACAGCACGGTTCCAAGTCCTAAACGTACTTAAACAGTTTACGGCAGCAGCAACACTCAGCTTCATGTACTGACGCCCCAGGTTACCATAGTAACGAGAACAGTTACTGTGGCTAACGTTGATGCTAGCTGCTAGCATACATGTTTTTAAGCGCGTTATTTCTGAGGAAAAAGTGACGTAATGCCGCTTGACGACGACAAAAACAACTCACACCTTAAGGTTTATAGTGTTAGGATACACACAAATGCTATAAATAGTGAATTATTTATGCTAATTTGATCTTTCAAACGGACGATGGCAGTAGAGTACGAAAGAAAAAGAAGAAGAAAAAACTGTTGTTTCAACGTCACTTCCTTGAAGAATCGTTTTTTTTATTCGTTTCCTTTTGTTTGGTTAATTATTTTAATTGTATTTGTTTTGTTGTCGGATTAGGAAGAGGGTGGATCCTTAGTCCACACTCCATATTAGTTGGCGGCGGTAATGCACCCGAAAGCTGTTTGCCAACCGCCATTGACAGCAAAAGAAGAAGAAAAAGAACGTCACTTCCTGTCTTAAAGAAACGTATTGAACTTATTTACACAAGCCAAAAAAAAAAGATTTTTTTTTTTAAAACTGTTTTTCTGCCAGCAAAAAAAAAAAAAAGTTCCAGTTGCTGTGAATTGTCGAAGTCTACTAAAATGAAATGTCCCTCTAATATCTCACCTGTGTGGTCAGGTGCTTGAGAAGATTTCTATTTCTTTTATTGCTCGACAGGCGGTGTAAAAACACACACCTATCTTATCAGATTCCAAAAGTCACTGCAGCCTCCATGATCTCTGTATAATAGACATGAAATGTCCTGTTGAAGTCTGTCCTGGTTAATGAATTATGATGTACGAGACACATGAGGTTCAGGTACTTCTTAAATTTAATGTATAGTGATGTTTGTGTATCCAACTGTACAAGGACTATCACACTGATTATCAACCTCTTGATGTTTGAGTAGCAAGAAGACAAACGGTAGATGTGTATGTGGAATGTAGGCTAATTTAAATATTAACTGTTTTATTGCTGTTACCGTATCAAACCTCCCCTGTACCTTTATAAAGCTAATACATTGTACTGTGATATAACAGCCCTGCAATAAATGTTAAGCTTCCATCCAACATGGATAAACATTAGAAACAGCTCTCAGTATATAACCCAGTAAAGTTCAACAGCACCACAAACTACAGCTGAGCAGCTCAGTTGTTCAGATCCTCTGGTTCTTCACTGTAAAGTACTTTTACAATCAAACCAAATATGACAAATATATATACAATTCTATATACACACACACACAATATGTATATATAAACATTTATTTTAAATGAAAACAAATAACAGCAGGGTTGTTATATTTGGTTTGATTGTAAAGATATTTGACAGTGAAGAACCGGATTAAACTCATTATCAAGACCAGCTGAGGTGGTGATGTCATCAAGTAAGCTGCTGTTTCTATTGCAGAATGACTGAACTGCATCCTCCTGTTCTTGGGAGTTTGGGATCCACACTCCAAAGTACACAAGTCCCTCGGCTTTTGAGAAAGGCCCTTTGTGTTCGTCACATGTCGTCATGAGCTTACAGTTGTTCCTCCCACATTGACTGACACACCTTCTGTTTACTGGCAGCACTACAGCACAGAACGGGTTTCTGCTCTCACGTCTTACTCACAAGTCCTGACTTGGATTTGAAGGTGTGAGGACGCGATGGCTGCGTCTGTCGGTGTCTGCAGACGAAGGTAGAAAGTCTCTTTGACCTCATCTGGATGAGACTTTAACAGGTGAGTGACTTTAACAGGTATCTTTAGACTCTGATGAAGGAGCTCTGCTGACATTTGTTACACAATAAACTTGTAGATGAGAGCGATCAGTTCTTTCAGCACTGATATTTACTCTTTGTATCCGAATTAATTCACTCATATTCTGTCATATGTAACTTTATGGCCAAAGTCTTTTCATGTTCAGTTAAGTCAGATTTTACCATTACCAGGAAACAAGTTTGATTTTAATCTGCGCTGACTCACTGCTGAAATACAGTATGTGTGTCACGGGGTGGTGTGGTGGAACTGGATCCCGAGCAGGTTGAAACGACAATGATCTGGCAGCGAGTGGATGAGGAACCGGGCTAGATATACTGCTGGGTGATGAGTAGTTTGAAGGCAGCTAGGTGGACTGGGCAGGTGAGTTGAATGAGTGCAATCAGGACCAAACGTCTCTGGCACAGCACTCAACTGGTTTGAATCCTACTTGAAGGACCGAGAATACTTTGTGTCTGTAGCTAATGTTACGACCGGCTCGGGAGTCGCGACATATAGGAGGGACACAACACCAAGTTAGGTCAAAAACAACCACAGCTGCCAGTTTATTTACAGGACAAGTAAACTGTAGTGCGCAGATCCGGGTGCCAGGCAGATGAGAGAGCGAGGGCGGAGAAAGGAGGCGCTTTAAACCACATCCAGGTGCCCTCAATCACTCGTTAGGGAGCTGCACCTAGAAGTCAAAAGACACAGAATACACACACGCGCGCACACACACACACACAAGCACAAAAACAACATCATAATTATGCAGACGACACAAATCTACATAACTATCACCGGGGGACTATAATCCCATATAAGGGCTGGGTAATGCATTGAACAAATCAACTGGATGTGCCAGAATGTTCTTCAATGAAACAAAGATTATACAGAAGTCATTGTTTTTGGTACCAAGGACGAATAATTGAAAATCACCGCTCAGCTTCAATCACTGACGTTAAAAACCACCAAGCCAGAAATCTAGGTGTAGTTCTGGATTCAGACCTCAACCTGAACAGCCATATCAAGACAATTACAAAACCAGCCTCCTATCACCTGAAGAATACATCAAGGATTAGAGGACTTATGTCTCAACAGGATTTGTAAAAACTTGTCCGTGCATTTATCTTCAGCAGACTGGACTACTGTAACGGTGTATTTACAGGTCTCTGTAAAAAGTTAATCAGAAAGCTGCAGCTGGAGTCCTCACTAAGACCAGGAGGGTGGATCACATCACTCCAGTTCTGAGGTCTTTGCACTGGCTTCCTGTCCAACAAATAATTGACTTTAAAATCCTGCTGTTGGTTTATAAAGCACTGAATGGTTTAGGGCCAAAATACATCTGTGATCTGCTGCTACCTTATGAACCATCCCGACCCCTGAGGTCGTCAGGGACCGGTCTACTTTCTGTTCCCAGAGTCAGAACTAAACATGGAGAAGCAGCGTTCAGGTTTTTCTGGTCCACATATCTGGAACAAAGTCCAAAAAGCTGCAGGTCTGCTGAGACCCTCAGCTCCTTTAAATCAGGACTAAAGTCTTTTCTGTTTGCTGCCTTTAATTCAACCACATTCAAGATAATACATTTCTGTATTTTATTTCTTACACTGCTTTTTAGTGTTTTAATGAATGTTCCTAATTGTTTTTGAATCTCCTTTTGTCTTATGTTTTGATGCTTTTAATGGTTTTATGTGAAGCACTTTGAATTACCTTGTTGAAATGTGCTGTACAAATAAACTTGCCTTGCCTCTAGAGACCTGGGATCAGACAGGGAACAGGACTCGGACTCTCGGAGGCGGCAGGAACTGAAGGTCGCTGCGGCTTGGCGGAGACGGGAACGGGGGAAAGCTGCGGCCCAGCGGGAGTGGGTAACTGACCTCTCTTCTTCCTCTGTCTCCTAGGTTGAAAAGGCGGTCCATCAACTCAAGGTTGGCCTTCTGGACACTCCGAAGCCCTCCCAAGGCCTGGCGGGTTCCCACAAACTGGTCATAAAGTTGTGGGGCAATGCGCACCAAACGGTGGTCTGCTGAGTCCATTTTTGGCCAGATCATTCTGTCGCGGGGTGGTATGGTGGACCCAAATGCAGACATGACCAGATTGCAGAGTGAAAACATGTTTTAATAAACGTCAACACAAAGGGAAACTTAACAGGGAATCCAAGAATGTGAGGGTGAGAACCGGGCAGGACGAGGCAGGGCAGGCAGACTGGGGAACCGGGAGGATGGACCAAACTGCAGGCAGAGGGGAAACAAGGTGAGAATCACGGTAACAGAACTCAGCATGCAAAAACACTGCGCGGCCAAGAACGAACTGGATCCCGAGTAGGTTGAAACAACAATGATCTGGCAGCGAGTGGATGAGGAACTGGGCTAGATATACTGCTGGGTGAGGAGTAGATTGAAGGCAGCTGGGTGGACTGGGCAGGTGAGTTGAATGAGTGCAATCAGGAGGAAGCCGGGAGGAGACCAGGGCGGAGCCACACACAGACACAGAAACAACACAAAGCCTTATCGTGACAATGTGCACATGTCAGTCTGCTGTTTATTCTCTGACTGATCAAAACGACACACTCCACAGTGAATCGAAGAACAGCTGTTTGTTGTCTTTACCTGGACACAAATTTAGAAAAATTCATGTTTTGATGGCAGAGATTTTAGGAGGCGGGGCTTATGTTGTATTCACTGTGTTCTATTTGTCAGGTTGGTGCGAAGACAAAAAGCTGTTTTTTATTTGCAGGTGTGTGTAACAAACTTCATCTCCTCAAAAATGGACACACTTCCTCAACAACTACAGACAAATATGATGATAAATATGATCTAATAGGTAATAATCTACTCCAATAATGAGCTGCATATGCCCACCATAAAAGTAACGTAAGCATAGCTGGCCAATCAGGAAGTGCAGAGCGGAAAACATGCAGACCGCACAGTGGGCTTAGGAGTGACAGGACCCCTCTGGTAGAGGCTCAGCCTGTGTTTATAGAACTATGGTTACAATATCGTAACCTTCGTTCTGACTCACACAGGCTCCGCCCTCTATTGGACTCTATGGATAGAGTGGGTGGAGCCCAATGAACACACGCCCAGAAGTTAAACTTAATTCGCATTCGCTGTAGTGAAGCCGGCACCAGAAAGTGACGTATTTACGGCCTGGCGTCGTGTGTGAAGGGTCTTTAAGTGGTCACGGGACTTGGTCGTGCACCTCTGAATTTGTGTAACTTGTTGAATGCGCCGCACAGTCACATGACTGTCACAAATAGTTCACAGATTAAAACACTATTTCCATGTCGGAGGATTTTACAAAGAAGGTCAATTCATTTCTAGAAGTTTTAGAAACAGGAAGTGTTAAACATCTACATTATAGGAAATATTTATCAGCTAAATCAAATAGTCTACAGGATATTCAACCTTTGTTTCTTTTAATACATTTAATAGTTATTTCTTCACAGGGTTTATATAAAGGTAATAAAATAGTCCATGAACATTACAGTCATTTAGCAGATGCTTTTATCCAAAGCGACTTACAATTCAGATTCTATCACATTCATACACCGTAGGCACAGCTGTGTGCCTTGCTCAAGGACACATCGACATGCGACTAGCGGAGCCGAGGATCAAACCGCCGATCCTCTGATTGAAGGACGGCCCTGCTCTCCACTTAGCCACAGTTGCCCACCATATATGAGTTTATAGTTCATTACAATCCCTCCTCTTCATTATGGAGGTTGGTTTATGGAGTTTTGCTGGTTTCACTCGTTGTCTTTTTGATTCTTCACAGTTCATTTTGTTTGTTGGTCCTCTGGTGTTTCAGAGAATAATGCAACAAACATCACGTTGAGCATAAATGACTTCATGTGTTCTCGGAGGTCACGCACCATCTGTGGAGGCTCACGCTCCGGTGCCAAGAGCGAGTAGAAACGCTTTAGTCTCCACAGCTCACCTACTTCTTTAGAGCCTAGGTGGCCTCAGCGGAGAAGTGTTGGAACACAACGTTAGATTTATGCAGCAAAACCACTTTGACAGTTTTAGGAAAAACATCATGGTTGGGTTTAAAAAAAGTACCTGAAGTTAAATAAGTTAACAGCTCACTAATTAGGGGCGACTGGATCAGTGGTAGAGCAGGAACGACCTTCAATCAGAGGATCGGTGGTTCGATACCCGGCTCCGCTAGTCCATGTTGATGTGTCCTTTGACTCTTAACCCCAAATAGCTCCTGTAGCTGTGCCCACAGTGTATGAATGTTAGATAGTCCTGGTGGGACCTGTCATCAGTGTATGAATGGGTGTGAGTGGGTGAATGATGACATGTTGAGTTAAAGCACTTTGAGTTGTTGGAGGACTAGAACAGACTATACAAGTACAGTCCATTTACCATCTACTCAAGAACACCGGTCCTGTGTTTGACCCATTCTCCAACCATCACTGTATAAAGTACATCAATAGCTGTGAGTGATCACATGGATGTGTTTAACTTCCTGTATCCACAAAAACAAAGACTCCTACTTGACTTTCCATTGTTTCTGTGGTTCCAACACAGTTTTTCCTTCAGGTGACGAGACAGACAGATTCTAGCAGGGAGCCACGATGACGGCAGTGGACATTTGTGACATTCTGAAGGATTTAAAAGAAGAGGAATTTGAGGAATTCACCTGGCTTCTGCAGCAGCATGACTTCATGAAACCTTACCAAGCTATCAAAGAGTCAAAGCTGGAGAAGGCAAATAGGCTGAAAACTGTGGATCTGATGGTGAAGACCTTTGAACTTCATGGAGCTCTAGAGGTCACCAGGAAGGTTTTACGGAAGATACCCAGAAATGATCTGCTGCAGAGTCTGACAAACACCAGCTCAGGACCAGAAGGTCAGTCACACTTCAGTCATTTGTATTTTCATGCAGTGAGTTAAAATGGGAAACACAGTTCTTGTAATGGAACAGGGTCTTAATCATGAGAAAAGGCTCAGGTGATGTATCTTTATTATTGGACAGATTGTGCTGACGCTACCTGATTCAGTCATCTTTTATTTACTCCTTGGTTTGAGACACTGAGATATTAATGTACTGTGATCAACGTATCCTCATACGGTGGTACAAATTCTGCTCATTACATGAATACAGTAATACAGAAACTACTTAGTTTAGGAAAAGATCATGAACGACTTTTAAGGAAAAGGTGGTGAAATACTTCGTTAGGTACTCAAAGTACAGTAAAGAACGCAGGTTACGTAACTTATAAAACGCTGACTTCTCGTTTCAGAGGCGGAACAAACAGCGGTCTGCTGGGTCAAAAGTCACTGTTTGTTGGACCCATCCACCTTTCACCCTGTGTGGGCTTTTGTGGTCTTTATACTTCCTTGTTCATGATTACGTAGATAACATACGAAATTATTTTGTTGGATATCTCGATAATTATGGCGCATTCTTTTTCATAGGAATAGCTGAGTTACTATGCAGTGAGATGAAATGCTGCTGTTCTGCACATGAGGTTGATGCGTTGATGGAGATTGAACAAAGCGGTAGTATCCTGCACGTTATTGACAGAGAGTTTATGTATTGGGGTCAGGGTTAAATTCAGTTCCCTAAAAGAAAATACCCAACACGCTATTAAAAATGTACAAGTTTCATTTTGTGGAGTTTGAGTGAACATCTTCAGACCTGCAGCAAACACTTTCACTTCTGCAGCTACAGCAGGAAGTTCAGTCCTAACATCTGACGTACACATGGACACACATGTACTGGTTGAAGTGGTTTTGATCCGGAGCCCCCCCCCCCCCTCACACAGGGGTCAAAAACACTGTAGACAGTTGAGACTCCATGTCGGATGAATGTTTGATCGTGGTCGACACAGAGTAGGTGAATGTGTTGGTTGTGATCTCCCAGAGCAGGACGAAGGTCTGTTGTTTGGATGGACTTCATTTCAGAACCATGTGTAATAATTGAATGAAAGAATAATTGGAGCTAGAAATGTAGAATAGTTTGTGGAGCTACAGCTGTGTTGACAATGTCCCACAGCGATTACACTCCGACTAATCGTCTATCCCAGACACAATGATGTAACCTACAGTACATAACACAGAAACATGTTTTAAACCTGAAAAATGAAGATAAACTAATTACCAATCAGGGTTTGAAGATAAGAAATAGGTAATAAATCAACGTGATGAAATAACACATACTGTAACTTCTCTCACACAGAGGATGCTGATGCTGGAGAGACTTTAGAGAACAGAGGAACATCCGCCTGTCAGAGCAAAGATAATGCTGCTGTATTCTCTGGTTAGTATGGAAGCCCTGAGAGAAGAAAGTGTGCTAAATGTTTTCAGAAATACCCTCTGTGAGAGACATTATGACTCCAAAGAAGCATTAAATTCAGTTCCCTAAAAGAAAATGACCAACATGACAGTTTGAAGCAAACTTTTCTATGTGGAGGTTTGACTTAGCGAGTGACGCCTGCGTTCATCGGAACAGGTCGATTGCCACAGCTTCAGATAATACGGATACCAAGCCATGGTCAACATAAAAGAGCCTTTCCACAAACTCTAAAGTATCGGCCTCATGCTCCTGAGCACGTTCTCTGATGGCTCTTTGCAGCCCGTTGATAGCCATAGCAGGAGATGGCCCGTTGCCAAAAGGCGATGGCCTTCCTCCGCTACTCAACAACTTCCTTGTTGATGTTGAGGTCCTTGTGTCATTAAAAACAGAAACAAGTTGTAAAAAGACAGCACGGAGGGATTTGTTGAGGTCAGGACCTGTAAAGAGGCATTGAGGGAGACACCAAAGTCATGGCAGCTTGATTCAAAGGTTTTGTGCGAGCTGGAACCCAAACGTTGGGAGATACCAGCACTCCTCATCTTCTCTCAGTGGTGGTGCTACTTCCTCACGTCCGTTGACAAAGATCTTCTCCATGAATGCTACATACTGTTCCTGCATCTCACGTTTCTGTTGTTTTCAGGCTTATCGTAGAGATGCAAAGCATTGGACTACCTGCACTTAGTTGTTCTGCAAAGACTGGCGTGGTTCTTTCAATGACAGTGTTAACCCAACTGTTAAGGTGGTCTCTGTAGACGTTTGGGTCCTTTATCTCAAAGAAGACGATGTCTTCACTGACGGAGCCAGGTTGTTGTCACGCTCAGTTAGATTGAATACCATCTGTCCCAGCATCCTCTTAGCTCCCTTGCCTGGCTGTTAAAGTACTGCTGTGTCTCCTTGACGTACATGAAGCTTGTTCAGTGTTTAGAAAAATGTAATAGCAATCTTTGTTCAGCATGATGGTCTTGAAAGTGTTGACTCTCAGCTTATGTACATTACTCAGGCACACCTCTCCTATTACTACCCAGCCCGGGTCGATCCGTGCTGGAAGGACGTCTCTTCTGAGTAGCAGGAGTAGTTCAGCTTCTGGGGTCCAGTTCTGGGATGGGCCTGGCAATGTGATGGAGATGTGGCTGATGTAGGCTGGTGCTTGGTGTTTAATTACTGTTCAATTAGTGGTGAGAGAGATTTGAGAACTCTGTAGTCCAGTGACTCGATCTGGAATCCTTCTGTCTTCTTGCCAGAAGTTTCTACGACGCCAAAGAAAGTTCTGAGGTAGAATGAGAATGGTTTGCTCTCCAGTCTGAACAGTTTGAAGAGCTCTGGTCCAGCTAATGAGCTCTCAACATCCAGAATTACAAAGGCTTTGACAGCCAAGCTCTTGAAACCCTTGGGGTATATTTCTGAGGGGCAGATCTTTGAGCATGAGCAGGTCCACTGACCTGGACCAGAAACTTCTGTGCAGCTTGTTCTAACAACAGCCACGTTAAAATGATCTTCTCCCTCGCCGCCATTCTCTTGTGAAGGTGAAGGAGCCTTGATGGACCAGGATGCATGGCTGCATCATGAAAGGTGCTGTCACATTCAAAGCACTTCACAGAGGACTTGCAGATTTGGCGAGGTGGGAGATTGAAGAACAGCACCTGAAACATGTCCCTTTCTCCTCGAGGAAGGCTTTCCTGTCGTCGAGGAGTTGTTTTATGAATGTTGTGTATTGTTTAGAGTAGATGGGACTTTTTGTGTAATGGGAGGTTGTTGCCACGCTTGTCATTGGTTGCACTGACTGGGTGAACTCAAGTGGGTTTGTTGGTGATATTTTGGATTTATATCTTTAGGTTGGAGCATGCTGACGTGCTGCGGTAGGCGTGTTCTCTCACTTCCGGTTGACAGTGCATCTGTTTTTCTGATACGTACTTTAGCTGCTTTAGCTTAACCAAGTTAATTGTGTCATATTCTTCATTACAGAGCCTAATTATCCGTTTTACATTTAAACTTTCGTTAGTTCTGCTGAAGCACTCAAATCTCTCTCCCTCTTCTGGTGAATTCTTCTTTTCGTTTCACTGAAGCGTGATGGTTTTATGACAGTTTCCCATTTCTTTACACAGTCCTTTGCATTTGAACACGGCAAAGTCTTTTGAGTCTCAGGGTTGGGTAGTAGAGGGCAGACAAGGCAGTGCTCCATAGTGTGGTCTGCTTCTCCACATTCACAGGTGGTTGGGCCAGTCTTGTAGCCCCATCTGACCAGAGCAGCTTTTGATTGTCCCGTTTTTGTTCTGAGGCGGTTTAGTGTTTTCCATTGAGCCCATGTTACTTCTGGGCCAGGGGGAAGGTTTTCAGTGGGGGGTGTTCCCATGACAGTTGGAGGACGGTCATTCTCATTCCCTCCAGAGTTGGATTCTGGTTTCTTCCCGAGACTTTGTGAGGAGCTGGACATGGCTGAGAAAGCTTCTTCTTGATTTTAGCCGTTGGGCCGGAGGGGGACATCCATGCAGGAGATGGCGTTCATCACTAGTAGATTTTGTTTTCTCGATTCGGCTGGCAACTTCCCATCTAGTATCAGCAGAGTCAATGCCAGCGAGGAGGTGAAGGTTGCTTGTGTTGGTGGGTTTCAAGCAGCCAGTGACCTCTTCTGGTGAATTCTCGCTAAATCCAAGACTTTACATGTTGTCCAGTACTGCTAACGTTAGCTACCGTACTTTAGCTTAGCAGTTAGCACTCTTTCTCTCTCTCGGTGTGTCACATGTTCAGCTATTCCTCTGCCTCCTTTAGGTATAATGGTACATGTTATAAGTGTAGTGTGTTGGCTGAGTGAATTAGAAGCACAGCTCTGCACCATGGAAGCTCAGTCATTAGCTACTAAAGTTAGCCCACCGTAAACCAGTTTACTACGGTTCCTTTAATGCCAATCAAAGGTTCTAGTCTCTGTAACAGGATGTAATGATCAATGGTGTTGAACACAGCTTTAAGGTCTAGCAAGACCAGAACAGAGACGAGTCCTTTGTCTGATCAATCAGAAGGTCATTAGTTATTTCACCAGAGCTGTCTCTGTGCTATGATGCTCTCTAAATCCTGACTGAAAGTCCTCAAATATACTATCGTTACGTAGAAAGTCACACAACTGATTCACGACTGCTTTCTCAAGGGTCTTAGAGAGGAAGGGAAGGTTAGAGATCGGTCTATAGTTCTACACCTATGGAGAGTGGGCTTCTTAAGAAGAGGTTTGATTACAGCTACTCTGAAGGACTGTGGTACATGGCCTGTTAGTAAAGACAGGTTGATCAGATCTAGTAAAGACGTGCTGAGTTTGAAAGAGAACTGAAAAAGAAAAGAAGCTCATGGACCAATCAGGAAACAGTCCAGTACATGAAGGAGAAGATCAGAGAGAATGTGTCTCCAGAGAAAAGCATCAATCTGTTCCACTGTCTGAATGAACTGAATGATGGTTCTCTAGTGGAGCAGATCCAACAGTCCCTGAGTTCAGGACGTCTCTCCACTGATGAACTGTCTCCTGCTCAGTGGTCAGCTCTGATCTTCATCTCATTGTCATCAGGAAAACATCTGGACATGTTGGCCCTGAAGAACCTGAGGCTGGTGCCAGCGGTCAAAGCCTCCAACAAAGCTCTGTAAGTACCCAGATAACTGCCTTTAAAGCTTTGTCACATGAGCAGAGTAGTTCTCAGCTAATGAAAGTCTTCTGTTGACAGATTTAATAAACAAATTGATTAGTTGATCAATTGAAAAACATGCAAATTGTTTCTTCAGTTTCATTGCAACTACACAGATTAATGCAGCTTTGAAATTAAAAGGAATTCACTTTGTTGTTCATTTAAGACTAAAAGTTATTAGAGATTAGGATCCATTAATCACTGTTATGTTCCAGTGATACACACAATAAAAGACTCTAATCCTCAATTGTTCAATTTATAAACTCAGAAATGTTGTATTTTACATTGAAGAAGAAGAAAGAACAGTATTGTGTTCGACTTTATCACTAACTCTCCTTCAGGTTGAGTGGCTGTAATCTGTCAGAGAGAAGAAAAAAGAGATGATGGTTTGCTTTGGGAAATGGTGGACAGAAAATGTAAATAAATAGAATTTGCATTTATTTTGTGTTGAGGTTCGTTACGTTTCTATAAGATACGTTTGATATATGATGAAGATCAATGATGATGATGAAGCTTCATTCTGACTCTGTTTCTTCCTCCAGGGTTGAACCTGCTGGAGATCAGAGGCTGAAACCTGATCTGAGGAAGTGTGAGTGTTCACTTTGATTCATGAAGTCTCAAATAAACCCATCAGCTGTGTTTGATGATGAACTGATGCTGTTTCATGTCTCCTTCTCTCCTTCAGATTCCTGTGCACTCACAATCGACACAAACACAGTGAACAGAAACCTCAAACTGTCTCGCAACAACAGGAAGGTGACACGTGTGTTAAATAAGATTCAGTCATATCCTGATCATCCAGACAGGTTTGACTCCTGTCCTCAGCTGCTGTGTGAAACTGGTCTGACTGGTCACTGTTACTGGGAGGTCGAGTGGAGAGGAAGAGTTGAAATATCAGTGAGTTACAGAGGAATCAGAAGGAAAGGAGAAGGTGAAGACTGTAGGTTTGGAGAGAACGATCAGTCCTGGAGTCTGGAGTGCTCTGATGATGATGGTTACTCTGTCCTTCACAATAAGACGAGAACACCCATCTCCTCCTCCTCCTCCTCCTCCTCCTCCTCCTCCTCCTCCTCCTCCCCCTCCTCCTCATCCCCCCGCCCCTCTGGTAGAGTAGCAGTGTATGTGGACTATCCTGCTGGCTCTCTGTCCTTCTACAGAGTCTCCTCTGACGCACTGATCCACCTCCACACCTTCAAAACCACATTCACTGAACCTCTTTATCCTGGGTTTGGGTCCAGGTCCTGGTTCAAGTTTGTTTCCTCAGTGTCTCTGTGTTCTGTGTAGGAGGGAGAGTCTCCTCCTCTGTAAAAACTCACACTGCTGACGATCAGATTCAGATCAATAGAACAAAATATAATCAACAAATAAATCACTTTTATATATTATTATGGAGAAAACAATCAACCTTTATTGATCCCTCGGTGAAATTCATAAATGAATGCATAAAAAATCACCTTCAAAATAAAAGCACAGGATTTATTTTAATTTTTTTATAGGCAAAGGCCTGCAACCCACTGAAAACGAGTCCACGGCCCACTTTTGGGTCGCGACCCACCAGTTGAGAATCACTGCCTTAGAATGAGCAAAAGTGATGATTGTGTAATTGATGAAAATACTAGAAATCTTTGTGTTTCATGAACTTCAGGTTGGGCTCTGATGTTTCCGTTTTCATCACTTTGTTCACTCGAGAGGACAAAATCATTCCAAAGACATCCTCATGAAGCTGAATTCAGCCTTTGTAGAATCAAGAGTGCGTTCCCCTCCACTGGGACAAGAGTAGGAATATGTCTTCAGTCAGCTTTAAAGCTCAGTTATGGAGTTGAGCTTTACTTTACTGTCACATTTTATTTTCTCAGTAAAAACAAGTAGATTCTATTGTTTCAGATAAAATCAGTTTCCACACATTTATGCAAATAGATCATCACAAACATGTAACTTTAGACAAATGTACAAATCATTTGACTTTGTAGAAATGTGATTCCAGTTCATCTGAATGTGATGTGAAATATAAAGCAGTGACATATTTAACCAGAATCAGGTGATTGTTTGACTGAATATGTGACTGCTGTTACTCAGGTATTACTACTACTACTAGCTACTACTGCTACTGCTACAGCTATTACTGCTACCATCAATATTATTACTACCACTACTACTATTACTTATACTACAACTGCTACTACTACTACTGCTATTCATGCTACTACCAGTAGTAATACTACTACAGCTATTAGTATGACTGCTACTAGTACTACTACTACAGCTATTAGTATGACTGCTACTAGTACTACTACTACTGCTATTACTGCTACTTCTTCTACTGCCATTACTTTTACTACTACTACTACTGTTATATTAAATACTACGACCACTACTACAGCTATTACTATGACTGCTGATACTACTACTTCTACTACTTCTTCTTCTAATTACCAATACTTATACTACTAATAATACTTCTACTACAACTACAACTTCTACTAATACAAATATCACTACTGATGAAATTTTTTAAGCCACAGAAACCGTTCGAATATTAAAATGTTCAGCTCTTTCAGGAGAGGGGTGATACGACTTTTCATATTTGTAATCTTTAAACTTTTTGAATTATTAAGCTATTTGCAATTTTATTTTGAAAGGGATCTCTATGGAGAAAATCTTCAAATCCTGTTAAACTTCTTCAACTTTCAAAGCCTTCTTCTTCCTCATACTTTCAGCTACAGACACCATAGTGAGACATTTCAACTAGAAGGGTTTTCAGCAGTGCAGTTTAAATGCTTTCAGGCTTCAACATTTTTCAGACGGGTAGTCTCCCATTTCTTAATTTTCAGCAATTTTTTTACGATTCATTTCAGCTTTCAGCATTCCAACGCATTTTCAGCAGGAATGCATTTTCTAGTTGTTATTTTTATCCTTTAGAACAGTGATGAAACTTGTACTCTGAAACCGCACACTCCGGTACAGTCGGTGGCGGTATGCGCCAATTCAAGTTGGTTGCGATCTGCCAAACAAATTAGAGAAGAAGAAGAACGTCACTTCCTGTTAGCTAAAGTGTGTTGCGTGCTGAAAGGTAAGACCACAGTCTATATGGGTGAAACAGAAATAAACAACGTTAAATATCGTCAGATTCCGTTTCCATTGAACTCGTATTGCAGTTTAAGAAGTTATGTGTTTATTTACAACTGTCGCTTATTTTCTGCTCACGTAAACGTTCGCCGGTTGTCCTGTTAGCAGCATGTGCGAAGCTATCTTACTAGCCACCTAGCTAACATTACAGATTTCAATGGCAGCTTTTTCTGTGACAACAAACTTATCTAGCTGCATAACATTGTGTGACCACCGTTGTATTGTTCTACAGGAACATGGCAGCGGACAGCAGGACGGAGGACTACCCTCATGAGATAGACGAGCAGCTCACAGGCTTCGACTCCTCTGTGTCTTCTGTTAAAACTATGTTGGAGAAGTTGATGTCGATGCCCAGGAATGACCTGCTGCAGAAGGTAGGATGAAGACCTGTCTCTCTGTCTGTCTCTCTTTCTCTGTCTGTCTGTCTCTAGAATAATATTAAATTAACTAACTAAACAGTTGTGCAAAGATTTCTCATAACATTTTATGCTTGGGTGTACCCAGCAGTCTGTGCTGAACAGTAAACCACTGCATTGTTTTTATTTCTGGTTTGTTTATTATTATCTGAGGTATTTTTGCAAGTCAAGGACTTTGATATGTTGTATAAAACTGGTGCTGATTAAATCTGGTTTATTGACAGCTGGACCCTTTGGATCAAGCCAAGCTGGATCTGATGTCTGCCTACACCCTCAATTCATTGTTCTGGAGTAAGTCTTTGTCTGGATTCACTTTGAATATTTCGTGGTTTTGGGGATATATAAATTTAAGGCAGGTGGCCCTGAGTTTGCTAGTTTAAATTAAGTTGACTCTCTCCTGTATGAAAGTAAGCTGCTTCTATTTGGGTTTATTTGTCTGCACTGGCACTAAATTCTATTTTATTTAGACTTTACTGCCAGCCAAAGGATTTGTGAAACCCAGTAAACTACTTTCATTTTTATATATTATTCATTTTCCTCCATTGACTTGTAGTCTTTGTTCTTGTTCACAGTGTACTTGGTCACACAAGGAGTGAATCCCAGAGAACATGGAATCAAGCAGGAATTGGTGTGTATGTTTTCTCTGCATTGTCTTCAACATGTTCACATTCTCTCTATTTATTTGCATTAGTGTAATTCTAAATGTCACCACTCTGTGTTCTTCAGGAGCGAATACGGACCTACATGAACAAAGTGAAGGAGATCACGGACAGGAAGAAAGCGGCCCGTCTGGATAAAGGCGCTGCTGCACGCTTCCTGAAGCACGCTTTCTACGATCCTAAAGAAAAAGACTCGAGAAAGAAAGCAGCAGACGCGACGTCTGACGCGTCGCAGTCGAAGCGTCCGAAGCAGAGCTGAAGTTCAGGAGCAGCTGTTCAGTCTCGTCCCACGGCTTCTTAAAACCTCTTTTTTGAGGCACAACAAAAACTTTGTTCACAAGGTGACAAAGAGACTTCACTGGTTGAGTTACATGAGACACAACAAGAAGAGTTTTGTGTTTCTCATCAGTGAAACAGTCTGATTGTAGCCGTCGTCTACGACACAACATCCCAGCTTTAGCTGAACAAATTCCTGCTTCAGAATTTAATAGATTCAAGGCTGTTTTTATTTTGTACAATATTTCATATTTGAGTTGTTGCGTAAATCTTCTTCAGGGTTCCATAACCATGAAATGTTATGTTTCATTGAGAAATGTGAACAAAAAAGTGTTTCCCTCTACAGGTATTAATACAACATTGTTTGATTCTTCTTACAGATGAAAGAGAAACGTAAACTTCTTTTTCTTAAAAGTGATTCTGTGAATCTTTTTTTAGATGTTTTTACACACGTGCCATCTGTCAAACATGTACTGATTAACAATGTTTGTTGGTGATGAATCTTTATTAGGATCGACCTCTGCATAAAAATACTCACCAAACATCACGTTTCAGTTATTCATTTTTATCTCCTGTTGTACAATATAATGCCCCCAAAAAGAAGGTAAAACAGTTCAGTGTAAACGTTCTCACATTGTGAGACGTCACAGCAGGAGCACAGGTGTGAATAATAACATTAGTGGGTTATGCTGCTTCAGTTCACTTGACGACATCGTTAGTTTTATTAGTAACACCTGAGTTTCCTTCTGACAGTCTTTTGTTTCTCTACGGTTTTAGAAGAACGGTTTTGTTCCCAGAAGTGTATGCTAATGAAATTACAAAGAAAAATAATTATAATTTGTTACAGTTAACAGTAAATGTCTCCTACAGGTTTAACTAGTGAACCATCTAACTAATAAAACTAGTTTTTGCCTCTAAAAAGTGCTGGTTAGACTCTGACTGGTTCACTAATATCTAGAGACAGGCTACTCTGGTTATGTGAAGACATTTTATTTACGGCCTACCTGTAGACTCTTTTAGCAGCAGCCATTTTGAAATGTCCCTGCAGGTTAAACGCAGGTGGAGTTGATGGAATGAATGGCTCTGGTACATTAAGGGCTTGGTGTTGTCCATGCTGGCTGTGACACGGAATGCAACAGGATACATTTTGCCGTTACCAGTGGAAGCCGAGGATGTTTAAAAAAAACTGTCACCACTGTAACATTTGTAGACACTTGTATTATATGTCCTTTCATTCCATAGAACAGGTCATGTATTTCACGTATGTGTAGAACAGATTCAGTCTTGCTGATCTGACAAAGCACAGAGGGGAGGCACACAGTACCTCTGCCTCACTGAAGGGGGCGTGCGAGAGCCCACGGGTCGGGTTCATGCTTGTAGTTCCGTTACTCTTCTTCTACACTTCTCTTCTTCTTATATTTTGCTTTGACTGCAAACATTGAAGATTAAATATCTAAGCTTTAACAATCCTCAAAAAACAGGGAAATATGACCAAATCAACAGCAATCCAGCGTCGGACAGGTAAAGTAACCTTGTATGTTGTTCTCTTTATAAATCCGTGGTTGTTACACAGATTTTCGCGGGTGGCGCCCGCGAGCGCTCCGCTCCTGGTGCAATCAAATATGTACCTTACCTGTGTGCGTGTGTGTGTAAAGAATGCTGATATGAAATATGAAAAACAACCAGTAGTCAATGTGCAGGCTGCCAATTGAATGGTGATTTAAGATGCTCTATATTGGGGTCATATATTTGTAAATCTGACTCTGAAAGAGTCAGTGCCTCACCAGCCACGAACGTCACCGCACGTCACTGCTTAATTCTCATTTCGAATTGTCAGAATCGATTCTGCCCCAAGCTGAATGTATTTGAGGACGCTGATTGGCTAAATTGTATGTCACATATTTATATCTTTAACCAGCAATTGGCTGAACTGCTTCATAGCCCCGCCTCTTTGGGGCAGTTTCTCCAGCCCCCAGAGCTGCTGAGACGTGCACGCGGAGAGGACGTGCAGGAAAAGCATATATCTACCGCAGATATCATATGTTGGACATATTACTGGGTGATTCCATGTTTCAAAAACACAAATATTGACAATTTGTATAGTTTATTATTATTTTATTTTATTTGTTGTGGCTCAAGGTGGGGCGGCGCCCTAGCGCCCTCTATTGACCAGCCGCCACTGAATGTGATATGTTGCAGCAAAGTGCGGTCCATTCATATTCACACCATTTCAAGCCCTCAGTCTCTCACACTCAACCCTTAAACAGCTGACGTCAGTGAAGCTGAGGGTTCAGGCGTTAAGGTCTTGGGGGGACCTTATGATTGGACCTGATAAACAACAGCGTCACAATGACGAGTCCGCATGTTATTGGTTGTTCAGTGCTGGATGTGATCTCTGACAGTCTTCAGGGAAAAAGACTTGTATTTTTATAGAGTAGAGCTGTTTTGTCCTGAACGGTAAGACATGTAGAGTAATGTATATAAGAAGTTGCATGCATATATGTATATAAGAGAGATGTGTCTTTCATGAACTATGTATATGTGTCCTACTAAACAGCGTAACTTAATTCATGGTAACAATTTGGATCGGTCCCTGTGGGGTTCAAACCTGTGACCTTTTGATTACAGAACGGCCTCACACACACACTGCTGTACAGCTGCATGGCTGCTCAGTATAAGCGTGGGCCGCAATGAGACTTCCTTTTATAAAAACCCAACGTCACGTTTGATAAAGACACCCGTACTGCTTCCTCTCTGTAACTCCCTCTGGACAGCAGAGATCTTCATCTCACTGCGTCCCTCTAATCAAGCCCAGGAAACAGAGAGCCAGTGAATTACTTTCTCAGGAATGTATCTTTTCATTCTTTTCATCATCTTTCCTTTTCTCATCCTCCCTGTAGCAGCGTCCAAAAAAATGACATTTTGTTTAGCCAAACCACCCTCCTCCATCCTTTTACTTTTTTCCACCAAGTTGTTGTTTCTAACTGTTCAAAGACGTGTCACACTGATGAACAGCCCCGTCTGCATATTGGAAAAATATGGATTTTTCCACTTTTTTTCCACCCCTCCCTTCTGTAACGTTGGCCTTCCGAGGACCTCTTCCCCACATGTGCTCAGTATGAAGGAGTTAGGTCACTGCGGCAGCACATTTGAACAAACAAACTCTGAAACCGTGCGCCCTAACAAGCTCCAAACGCTGGTTTGTCCCGCGGATGTTTATTTATGCTGTTTGTGGTGAGGAAGTTTATATTATGTGGAGCGAAAAGGCATCGGACCAAACGACCTCCTCCGGCAAGACGACGGTAGAAGCCTTCAGACTTCTCCATCTCCTAAAATGGAAGAAACAGACGGACGAGCGCTTCTCTTGTTGCTATTTCAGTGATTTAACCTCAAAGAAATTACATTTAATCACAAAATCATTTTCTGGAGTTTGAATATATCTTTTCTAAGTTGGAGCACCTCATAGACTCTTTATTTATTTATTTATTGGTTTATTTGGTAGATACAGTGCATGTTAATATAACATCACTGTAACAGAGTTAAAGAGGATTATTTCTCATCAGTAGTCTCTGGACAGATGTTACAAAGTCAGCATGCCGCCATCTTGCCTATAGAAGTTATGTGTCTTACTGAGTAACAGGAATAAACCAGAAACATATTTCTCACTCTCTTTGATAGCATTTGGTGGTTAATAACCCGTTAGCAGTGGAAACCAAAGTGCTGATCTAATAACTGTTGAAACAAATCAGGAAGAAGTCGATAGTGTTCGGTCCATTAGACCATAA